GGAACTTCTTGCAGCCCTAAGTATTTTTGGCATCTAAAAGATCTCATGATGATGAATTATCCAAATTAAGCAGATGTTGTTTAAATAGTACTTCCTTTTGCTTTTTTTACACTTCCATTTGAAAAAATATTATTAGATTCATCGTTGTTCTCGTAAGAAATGAGTAAGTTCCCTGTTCACCTTTCCCATGTCAGACTTGATTTTTGATACCTGTATTACATCTGCCATTTCTCATCTATTTTCTAAGTAGTTCCAGAGTAAGAAGGTATTCTGTCTTTCTGATCAATCTGGTCACTTTTTTCTCTGTTTTTTCATGGTTTTCCAATGCTTAAGATGCTATCTTGTTTCAAGATGCCATAAGCAGAATTTTGGCTTGTATTAAAGGAAAGAACACAACTCCTGAAGATTTATACATTTATGTAGCCTTTTTTTATTGTTGCTTTTTCATTCTCTTCTGTCCTTATCAGTCCAAACTGCCTCTCTGAGCACTAACATTTCATAAAAGTATCCGTAGCTTCAAAATATCTTTGCTGACTGATATGAACTAATTAGAGCCTATTATGTTGCACAAGTAGATATTTTTTTGTTTTCCTTTCACTGACATGTGATCGTTGCATTTAGCTGCTATTTTATCACCTACTCAATCTTTATCATGATATTTTTTCTTTCGGCTACTTTGTGTCAGCAGTTTTGGTTTTGATTTTCCTGAAAAATTGTGAATCCCTAGAAAACACTGTCCAATCCTGTTTCACTTATCACTTGTGAACATGTTGTAAAGCTCAGGTACATTTGGAATCTGGCTATTCCCTTTGTGATCCTTTACCCATCCATCTTCCCTTTGAAGCATTTACCAATCACAAAGAGAGTTCACCTCTTGGGCTTTGTAAAACTGTTTGGGGAAATCTTCATATGTGATTGCTTCATCCAGGCTGCATGTTAAATGTTCTTCAATCATGACCTTTATGGGTCAGACCCCGAACATGCTCTGTCTCCCCAAGTGCCACACATTTGGATTTCCTTCCTGTGACAATTAGACAGAGTAAAAGCAAGCTGGGAGGAGGAGAGGAGGAAGAAGATAGCAGAAGCTGGTACAAACTTGGTTTTCTTCCAACAGGGAGTTGGTTAAGCTGAAGACTCCAGAGTCCCAGTATTTATACAAAGTCTACATAAGCCAGCTCCTCTTTATCAATATTTGCTGACTTTGCTGACATTTTTAAAGCACTACCAGGTTTGCAGTTTCTGCTTCTTCTCATTGCATGGTCATGAGCCATATGTTAGACTGACTGGGTTGTCATTTCTGTTTTCTCTGAAGTCTTGTCTAAAAATTTCTATTCTTCCAGAACTGTGTTCACTCCAAACCATAAATTACAAAGCACAGTTAATAGTTTGGTGATTTCAGATCCAAGCTCCTTTTGAACCCTGGGGTGAAGAATACATTGTCCTGGCAGTCAGGTACTGTACAGTTTACTGACTGGCTCCAAAACCACAGACAACCAGTTTTGCACATATGTTTTTTCTGACCATGCTCCTAAAAAAGATTTTGTTGTAGCAATCACCTCAAAATCTGCCAAAAAGAACAGTGACAGAAAAAAAGTACTTTGTTTTCTCCTGTTTTCCTTGAATGCTTCTGTTGCATCTCTGTTGCCTCTTAGTTCCTCACATTCTCTGGCAGATCTGTTCTTGATGTGTTTGGGGAAAAAATTATGCATCAAAATATTTTTTCACCTGGTTTCTTATGGTTTTGTTTTGCCAGTTTATGCTACTTGCCAGCATTTATGCTTCTCCTTTTGGACAGAAGCAGAAAATAACAGTGTTCCGCAAGTGAATGCACAAGTGGACTTCACAAAATCACTCGGCTGTTTGCAGTGGGTATCTAGAAATTCAACCCTGTGGTACTTTGATGTGTGTTAAAGGCAAAGAAGTTTGTCAAAGGCTGGCTGGAGAAAAAAAGGACTTGGTGAAACGGTTCAGAAACTGTAAGTACTGATGTTTCCATTATTTGTCAGTTTCAGTGCATTTCTGAGCATTGTCTATAACAGATATTTATAAAGAAATACAACCAGCCTCCAGACTGGATGATAGCTGCAACAAGCTTATTACCATAAATTACTATTTCACAGTATTCTAACCATTAGTACTGTGGAGCCCTATGGCAGCAGGTATTGCACAAACTTAAAAAGAAAGTGAGTCCCTGTCCCAAGCAGCAAAATTCTTCTGTCCCCGTAGCTTAGGACATTGCTGAACACTCATATTCAGTATTTATGTCCATACAATGCACTGTGGATATATTAGCCGTGATCCCAGAGCCATGCTCCAGCACAAACCTCTCTGCCAGTAATGCTGAGCAGTGGCACTTCCCACATGGGATTTGGCCAACTTTAAGGTTGTTCCCTGAGTAACATGTGTATGTTCTAAGGGCTTTGCTGAATTAGGACCTTACTTTCTAGAAAATGTATCTGCTAATAAAAATACGTTATGCTTGATCAAGCTTAGCGTTAAGATTAAGTGCTTTGTCTCCTCTTTTCACAGCTAAACTCCACCTGTGGTGAGAGTAATTTATCTTGAATTGCTTTAATGCAGTGTTTAAGTATGTCTTCTTGGCCACAAAGCAGTTTGCTTGTATTTCAGTGAGAGGCTTAAAATCCCATTCACATTTTTAATATACAGTTTTCTCATATAAATTAATCACAGTTTGGTTGGAAGGTCTTGCATGAGTAATAAGGTTGTTGGCACAAACACATACCATGCGTCTGTTAGGTAAAGGAGAAGCTTTTGTTTGCTTCTATATTTACACAAGAGGTTTAACTTGTACAAAACAGTTTAAGATAGTGGTGTTGTACTAGCAGGACGTGACAAGCCGTGAGATAACATATCCTCACCAAAATGCATCAACAGAGTACAGATAAATCCCCACACACTGGTTTGAAAATTAAACTCTTGCTATGCAAAATATTTTCACAAAATGCAGCTTCCATTGCTTATGTACACAGGCAGACAACAGCCAGAAACTTGCTGTTATAGGAAAGAGCCATGCTCTTGAAAAAAATTTGACCTGAATGTTCTTTTTACATGAGAAAGGAATGTGCTCTTTCAAGTAAATAATGACAAAGTGACATTTCAGTTTGCTTTCTCTCTTTCATTCATAACTTTGGGAAGTGATTGCTCAGGGTATATAATATGTAACTCAGAATTCTGCAAAGTAAGATTTTGCTGAAATTGTCTGAGCAATATCTGCACTCAAAATTCCGCAGTGCAGTTTTGCTCCATTGCTGTTGTAAGAGCATGAGCTGGAGAACTTTGTCTCAATATCTGTTTAGGCCTGACCTGAAGTACTCTGCACATGGTGGGAATCTTCCACTGCCTTGATTTAGGGCTTTGAATCAAGTCTTCTGTAAACAACAAAATGCAGAAAAGACAATGTATTGCAAGGAATTAACTTTGGAATGCATATATAATATCTGTATGTGTCACACATTTTGTGTTAGATCAGCAAAACAAATCCCTTTGTAACACTGCAAGGTTGCATTTGCCAAAATGACGTTGTGTGGTTCTATGGTCACCACATTGAGTGGTTTGGGTTGCTCCTCCATCACACACTCTGTTGAAAGCAATGTAGGAATTATTGCTCTTCTCAGATTGAACATAACTCTATGTTCGACACAAACCATGCACAAGAAAATTATATGAAAATGTGAGAGGCAGAATTGGAATCTTAAGTGCTAATGGATTGAAATGTATGTGTGCAATTTGGGACTAAATTTGACATGAACTGAAATAGAATTATCAGGAAACCAAGACAGCTCTGCAGCCAAGGATGCCTTTAATGCACAGAAGAATATATGCCCTGCTCGAGAGGCTCACAAATGCAGGATACAGTTGCTGGATGTCTCTGCTTGCACCACAATCAGTCTGTCAGTGTAACTACAGAGATGTTCAGGAAGAGCTGGAGAAACAGGAATGCAACAAGGAATGGCATTACTGATGCTGTGTGTATTATTTCGGGGCTTTATGAAATCATCAGTCTAGGAATTGTTCAATCCAGGGGAATCATTCACATTTCAAGCTTTGTCATCTTTTAGACTTTTGTTAATAAAATGTAAATCTCAACAATTTATGACTGTTTTCTACTCATTATCATTAACAAGTCTACTATTTAAAAGTGCTCCAGAGATTGTGATCTAAAATTTCTGCTTGACTGCTTTCCCCAAATTCAGTCTTCTCACCGGATTCAACTTGTTCCTGAAAGAAGTCATGTGGAATATCCTGTATATCCCAATACTCACTAAGGAAATGGGAGAGGTTAAAAGTCCTTGGATTATTTAGCCCATTAACATGGAGGGGGTACCACAGCTTTATTAAAAGTAATTGAGGGAAAAAACTGCTAAGCGGGAAGGACTATTTAAGCAAAAGAACAAAACTGGCACAAGAACAATTTAGGCTGGAAATGTATATAAGGTTTGCAAACATCAAACAAATGAGCTTTTAGAAAGCTTCCTAATTAGAAGAGAACATGCAAACTCCTTCAGTATTACTCCACATCTTGCTATGGTTAGGAATTTAATTGTGAAATCCAAGAACTCATTCCCAAACATTGGACTCAGTAATCTTAAGGGTCTTTCCCAGCCTAAATGATTCCATATATTCTGTATGTCTGTTACTAGGTAAACAGCTTGTTGTGAGAGGTTGTATTTTAATAAGTGGACATTAAAGACATTTTTAACCAAACCCTTTCATACACAATATAAGTACATCAAAGGACCGGTTTGTGTTAAACCACGTCTTTGAACGCAAAGCTTCCCATGGGCCACATATGAAAATCTTTACGTGGCCAGGAGGCACAATACACCTCATACTCTGGAAAGCTCCGGCAAGGACCTACGGCAGTAATGACCCTCTGGGACATTTGCAGGGTGAGGCTGGGCGGCCATGTGACCAAGACGGAGGGTTACGACATTAAGACACCCCCACTGCTGCACCGCGGCTCATTTTTCCCTCGGAACGGGGCGGAGCGGGTCGGAAGGGCAGCCTGCGGCTCCCACAGGCACAGCCCCCTCAGCGGGACCCCGTCCCGGGGGGACAGCGGCAGGAACCGAACCGAGGCAGCGAGCGCCGCTGAGAGCCGCCCGCCCCAGCGCGCCGCTACCGGCGCGAGTGACGGCTCAGCTGACCAATCAGTGCTCACCGCCCCCTTCAGCCATGGTAAGCCCAGCCAATCAAACCGCCAGTTGCACACCCGGTCCTGCCCCCTCCCTTTCACGGACACATGACGGACCAATAGAAAGGAGAGCACAGCGCCCGCCCTCCCATCGGCTCTCGCGAGCTCTCGGGGGCCGCCTCCCGCTCTCCGGCGGGTGACTGCGCAGCCGCCATGTTGGTTGCTATGCTGCCCGCGTGAGGCGGGCAGGAGGGCGGCGATGAGGGGAGGAGGCTGCAGGTCCTCCCCCCTCCTCCCCCACGGGCACTCGCTCGCTCGCCGCCAGGGAAGGCGCCTCCGCAGCGCCCCGGTGCTCCACCTCCCCCCGGTCCCCTTAGCCTCCCGGCCGGGGCTGCGTGCGGGGCAGCCGTCGCTCCCTGCGAGGCAGTGCCGCGCCCCGTGAGGGACAGCCCCGGCCCGTGCGGCCCCTCCGGCCGGCCGGTCGCTGTGAGGAAAGGGGGGAAGGAGAGGCCGGAGGGTGGGGGTGTCCTCCGCCTTCCCCCCGGGGCTACTCCGTCCTCTTCTCCCCCGGCTCTTTTTCCCTCTCCTCCCCCGCCTCCCTCGGCCCAGTCGCTGCAGTACGATGCGGCGCTCGCCGCTGCGGCGGGGCGCGGGGCGGCTGCTGTCGCTGCTCCCGAGGCTGCGGCTCGGGCGGGCGCTGCGGGAAGACTGAGGGGGGGCGGCGAGCGGCGCCTCCGCTCTCGATCCCGATCCCGATCCCGCGGGGAGTGCGGGCGCCGCGAGCGCCCGAGCGGCTGCGGCGCGCGTACCCGCGCGCGCGCCCGCGGAGGCGGGTTGGGGGTCGCGCGGGGCGGCAGCGGCGCGAGCGCGCAGCCCCCGCGCCTCTTCCCTCCGCGCTCCCCGCTCCATCTGGAACCAGGACGTGGATGTTACATGAAGGTAAAGGCGGCCGCCGGCGCGCTCGGGGCTCCGGGCTTGGGGGGACGAGGGGTGCTGCGAGCCGCGTCTCTGTGCTGTAACCCCCCCCTCCCCGCTCCCCCTCCCGCAACTTCGCGCTCAGGTCGCCGCGGGCGGAGAGCGACTGTGCCCTGAGCCCTTTTGGGAGGGGGGCGTGTGTGTGTGTGCGCTCCCTCCGCTTCCCCCCTCCGAAAAACAGGAGAGCCGGCTCCCCTCTGGCGAGGGGGGTGTGGGGGCTGTGTGGAGCTGGAGAGGGGGGGACGTAAATAGCCTCGAGGGGAACGAGCTGCGGGGGCAGGTCGGGGTCTCTAAAATGCAGTGAACTCCGCCGAACGCCTGAAAAGGATTTTTATTTTAGCGTGTTTAATGAAAAACTTTGCGATCCTGTGCTTTCTAGGCACATGTGCGCGTTGCCCTGGTTATGGGCAGGGAAAATAGATTTGAGTGCTGTCGTTGCATTCCTCTGGTACATTTTTAGTGTCTCCCTCGAGCAGAAGGCTTGTATAATCGCTGTGTCTATATGCGACAGAGGCTTTTCGTGTACCTGGTGATGGGTTAACTCGTGCATGCTGTTGCAGCGCCGGCTGGAAGAGGCATAACGTCTTTTTCCTTTCAAAAATCTCCAAGATCTAGTAGCTAAAACTAGATAGCTGCCAGTGTACGTGAGATGTTCCCACCTCTGGTCTGTTGGAACGGTAGACATCGTTCAGATGTAAAATACACGTGAACGAACTTTATGCTGTTAATTACACCCATCCAGGACTTCGGTGTGGCCAAGCTGTTACAGTTTTTTGAACTGTGAGATAGAAAATATTTGTGTGACCTGTGTATTACAGAAGTGCTAATGGATCTCAGCTGAAGAATAATTGTTAGACTGCGGTGTGCACGTACATTTGCTAACCCACGGGGCATTTCTCTTGCCCTGAGCTAAACTCAAGAGTTCAGTGGTAAGGGGGTTTTGTGAGTGCACGTTTGCCTGTTTGTTTTGGCAAATAAGTGCTTTGTGATGTTGGGAGCCACCGAGGTGTTCACACGCCTGCAGACATTGTGTGCTGGTCACATTGTAAATGTGCATTGCAAGGATACAGGAACGAGTTACATTAGAATTTATAAACCCATTTTTTATTAGATATGTATATTGTAGGAAAGTTTTCCAGTTCGTTGCTTGAACATAATATATTCAGTATTGTAATCTTATGGATGCCATTTTCTTGACAATGGATTTCTTGCTTCACTGACCTAAAAAGTTGTTTTTACATATTGGCATGGCTTGCACCGTGTTGATAAAATATGATTCTGGGTGATAAGCTTACAAATATGTACGTGTGTGTCAATATCTTTCCCAGGCAAGTTTATACTTTATAAACTCAGAAATGTACCATTGGTCCAATTTTTTTTTTTGCTAATTTTGTTGTCATTACCGTTTCTTTGTATTTTTAGATGATGTGTGTGTTTTTAATTTTAGTTTTTCAAAGTCAGATTAAACATTGAAATACAAATGCGTTTTCCTCACCAGTAGAAGTGTATTAAGTAATTTTACCTTTCAGTATGTCTTCCTTGTGTTTGCAGTTAAATTTGTTTGGAATCAGGTTTAGCTGTTTAGAGTTTACTTTGATGGTTACTTCTTGTTCAGCAAAATTGTTCATGGAATGTATTGTTTGCTGCCATGCTTTACAATTCTCATGTCCTGTTAATGTCTAATTTAGGTTGTACATAACAGTATTGATTGAACACCCTTGCTAAAAATACTTTCAGGGTTGGGTACACTTACACCATATTAGCAGGAAAGTTCAGCCAATACTGTTTTTCCGTGACTAGAATTAATTATTAGCAGCCATATTTTTAAAACATGAATAAAACCCAAAATCCTATGATCTTAGAAGTAGTGCTAGTGGCTCTGGAGTGGATGAGCTCTCTGTTAATGAGCAGGGTTCATGTGGTACTATTTACATGTCACTGCCATTAGCGTATTTAAAATACATGGTAAGTTAATACTCAGGGTACATCATTTTGGCTCAGATCCTGCCGTGGCCCCTCTTTGGGCAGATGGATCCACCTGCACAGAAGTTGCTGCAGGAACTTGAGCTCCAGCACTGCTTCAGTAGACATCAGGCCTGGTTTGTGTGGGCATTTGCTGTGTGTGGATGTTTGGTTGCGTTTGTGTGATGTCACAGGGGCTTGTGGGCATGCAGAGCTCCGGGGCTGGCAGCCTCGTGCAATAGTGTGTGACATGATTACTGGGGATGAAGGGACTTCCAAAAGATTGCTTTCGTATTGTAACAGCGCTGCTGAAAGGTCCCGAGCAGCATCTGGGGGCTCCATGTCACTGGGCCATTATTTATGGTTCTAACTTTATAAGGATTTGTTGAGTGTACATGGGAGTTCTGTGCCTTGGTTTGTGTGCCCATCTAGGAAGTGGGATGTGCACTGGGAACTGAGGGGAGGTGACACTGGAGGGAAGGTGGCCAGGATGGGTCAGCCATCAGGTCCCCTGTATGTGGGAAAAAGAACAGCTTGCTTGGGGCAATTTAGGCTTTGGATGTAGTCAGTGGGTTGGGTAAATGTCTTCTTAAAATTACAGTGGATTGAATATTGTGTTCTAACTTTTCAGCTGGTCAAAACTTTAATTAAAACAAGCAGTAGACATATGCATGGCTTTTTGTGGTGTTGGAATCACAATGTTAGGCTATCTTCCCTAAACTGATAAATAGTACATTTCTGTGGTTTGTCTTCTTAGGGATTCATCATGATTGTGCCTTCCTCCTCCCCTCCCCCAGTTTGGGTTTAAATTTGGTGCAAGATCATATGAATCCCATGCCTTCACATCCTGTTTCTGTGTCACCTCACTTCCATTCTCACCAATTAAAAAATGGTCAAACGAGAATCTTTCAGCAGATGGTTGACTGTGCTGTTTTCTTTTTTTTTTTTTTTTTTTTTTTTTTTTTTTTTTTTTTTTTTTTTTTTTTTTTTTAATACAACACTTTCACTCTCTGGTGCTGTCACTTTTCATTAAATGCTCAGACAAAATTCTCATGGGTATTAATGTCCTCCAACCTAAATAACTGTAAAAATGGTTTGTGTATGTATATAATATGGAATTGTTCGTGGAGGAAAGAAGGAACTCTGAAGGTGGAAGAGCAAAGCGAGGGGAGAATGGCCCGAGCAGGAGACAAAACCCCAGGAGCTCAGCAGTGGGCTGGTAGTACAACAGCAGGGCTTTGCTGTGTGGACCAGCTGTTCATATATGCTTGTTTGGGAACAGAGGCTGTTTTTCCTTCAGGACTTGTAATCCACTGAAGTAGCACAAAAACAATTTTCTCTAGGCTTTTAAAAACCTTTAATTTCTAAAATTTTGGAGTTCCTTTTAAGTGTATATGTATATATATACACACATATAATTATTATAGTTTTATGTATGCAGGTACATATTCAAAATCTCCATCTTTATTTTGAAGAATTCTAGAATTAGAAAACTACTGCTGTTTGCCACTTACAAGATAAATTACTTCAAGTTTATAGCAGTTAAATGGTTCACAGAAGTTTTATTGATGTGCTGACATACCAGAATTCAGTGTCCAGATGTGTAGGTTAAAAGAATCTGGTTAACAGCACACTGAAGTCTGTGCTGCTTGTATGCAGTGTCCCAGTACCTGCCACAGAACGTTACAGCTGGTAGTCACAGAGATTCTCAGTAGATCAGACAAACATAACTTGATGAATTTCTCTTTGAAATGTGAGAATTGAACCAGCTTCTCCTTTCTCAGCTTATGCACCTTCAAACAAAGACTTGGTAGGGTGATGCAATTAGGCCTCTCTTGGCACCCTACTTTGTCTCACACTGCAATTACTCTTGGACAAGTTTACTGTGACTATTGGATGATAAATGCAATTCTGTTTGTGTGGTTTATGAGACACTGCCATCTCTACAGTGCATGAGGAAGGGGGAAATGGCTAATATCCATTTAAAAATAAACAGTCTTTTAATTGTGAGTATTTATGATCTGTAAAGAATGCTCTGGGAAATATTTTCAGTGATTGGAGTGTGAAGTGAGCTCTTCATTGCCACTTGACAGTTTTCAGTCTGACC